GCCACTCCTCAAATTACTGCATGAGGCAGCTAAGTACACTAGGTTCCAAACAAGAAAGTCACAAACACAGTTCTGAGTCCTTGCAAATCACACAACCTCCTGTGCCTCCGATTCCTCAGTTATGAAGTGGAGACCACAGAAGCATTGGAGATTCTATAAGGCAATGGCCTTATAGGGCCATTCTCTAGATTCGTTAAAATAAGCTCTGTGATGTGCTTATTAACAAGCTCTCTGTAAAGGTTAGCTATTATTATTATCATTATTATTAGTGACTATCCTTGAAAATAAGTCTTTGACTGGAATGGGTCCAAGAAAATATCACAAACACCCCGAGATTAGACAGAGTGCCAAAGTGGGACCAAACGACTGATTAGAAGAAGAAGAAAAGCGAATTTCTGGTCTGGCAGATGCTGCATAGAAATAGGTGCTGAGATATCACAGAGCAGGGATCCCAGCTCAAGCATAAAACCCAAGGAGACTCTCAAGTGGAAGGACTCTAAAAATAAAAATAGAAAAAGAGAACAGCCGTTTTATCCACACTGTACCCTGGGTGACCGGTCCTCTACATTCCGGTCTCCCTTTTACAGAGGAGGAAACAGATTCAGAAAAGATGAATACTTTGTTCAAAATGGTGTGTAAACAGCAAAGAGAGGTGTGTGTGGAGGTGGTGGTAGACAAGATCCTAGGCTAAACCTTAAAGAGAATCTGTGCTCTGTGCACATCCTTGCCAACTCTGGAGCAGCGGTCATAAAAGGGCAGGACACATAAGACAGGGACCACTTTCCCTTAGTTAAAAGGAGTCCAAGTACCAAGTTCAGAGTCCAATATCAGACGCTTAGCCCCCAATCTAGGTATCCTCCTGTATCACTGAAATGGCCCAAGCCTAGAAGACTGAGAACCCACGTAGAGTGAGTGAATCCAAGCTGAGGGGGAGCAGAGAGATGGGGGAAGAAGGTGAAAGGAGCTAGGCTGCTTGTCTTGGTTTTGTCGTATCTTTCTTGTCTGTATGCAGCATCTTTATAAAACGAGACTTTCCGCAACTCAATTCTAAGAGTCTGTGTGTCTGACTCAAAAGATAACTTCTACATTTCTATTTTCGTCTCAAGAACAGAATATCCGCACAGCAACTTCCCAGAACTGACTACAGTAGAGAGGCTAGGCTAGACAGACACTGTATCTAGGGAGGAGGGCCCTAACACTATTACCATCTCATTTCCACTTGCTGCTAGGCCCTCAACTGGGCGCTTTGATTCTCAGTAATTTTCAACGATGCAGCAAACCCCTCCCCTCCAACCCCCGCATCGGCCAATAGAGGGCGGACTGTCTCTTCTTCCAGAAGTCTATCAGCCGCATGTTCTTGATTCCTTTTCCTTTCAGACCTGTTCGGTTCCAAACCCACCCCACCCCGGTTTAGAAGACTCTCTCCTTCCCCACCAGCCCTTTCAAGTGCTTTCTGTAAAGAGGCATTTCCTAAAATCTAGAGAGAAGGGCGACAGATGGAAAAGTTCAAACACCCTTTTGTCTGTAATTCTTCCATCCCTGTACGCATGCGTTCTTAGAAGTTCTGGCCTCTCCAATGAGCTGACAATCTAATGGGGGTGAATCAGAACTGTCTAGAAAAAGGTTTATATTACAACATATTTATTTACATATTTTATCTATATATATAACATGATAAATGTAAGCGGAGGCGATTACAAAACGCTATAGAACAGCTAAGGGAATAAGCTCAAGACTCTTCCCAGAAGAGGCATTAAATCATATTCCATGTACGCTTCCCTTATATTTGTACATGCCTTTCAGGGTCTGTATAATCCCCACCAGTTCCCTCTCTCCCTTGACCCCCAGTTGTCACCACGTTGGGCCCACCTAATCTCTCTTCTGAATCCTTAGTCCGGTTTCTGAAGATGAGGGAATCCTTTTGTGTCTGAGCCCCAATCTCATCGCCTTGGCTTCTGGCCACCTACTGTCTCTCCTGGATCCCAGAGAGGAAATGGCTATTTCATAACTGAGCTCCTACTTTACACCCTGTTTCAGATAAGCTGCTGGGCCCTTGCAGGTTTCTTATTTGCCACTAGTTACAGGCTTTAAGGAACTATGCTTGTTTTCTCTTTTGTTTCTCTATTAAAGCTATGGTAAAGGACCATGGGTAAGGAATTTTCTCAGCTGTTACACCCAAATTAGTGTACATTTGACTTCAATGCCATGAGGAGTCAGACTATCACCTGTGTTGATCCACCTTCCAGAAGGTTCTACCTCTGGAATCCCAGGAACAATGTCCCTTGCTTGTGTTCAATCTCGAGGTTTCTCTAACTTTAATATATTGCCTTTAAAAATAAAATAAACAAACATAAAAGCAAGGCCATGGCAATGATTCTCTTTTCTTTCAACTACAGTAGCTTTCTCACTTCTGTATTTTTTTTCCATCACCTGACCTTGGCTTTTCCTCTTAAGTCCTACAATGTTATCTGCTACATTTTAATAATGTCTTTATACTTGTATTTGAACAGAAATATAGATAACCTCCTCTGCAAGAGTGGAAAGGGCCTTTTAACACAGCTCAATGATGACAGCTTGTTGGCAAATCCCACGGTGGAGTACTGGTGCCTTGTTGGGGTCCAAGAAACAAGCATGTTTAACAGCGTTGTATGTTTTATTGTTCTTGAATTTTGCTAATGGAATATCAGGCATACCTGAAATGATTTTACCACTTAATACTTATAATTATAGAACATTAGGGTATGAGTTCCTTTGGAGATCATCTAACCTGACCTCCTATACAACTGCAGGAACTGTCTCTACAACATCCCTGGAAAGGAGTCATCTCAACAGCTCTTTAAATGCTTCCAGAAAATGGTATGCTCACTCCCCACTTTCCACTGCTGATAATCAGTGATAATTAATGAGCCTCTTCCCCTTCTCAGGACAAAGAACCATGACTGGAGAAATGTTTCGTTTTCTGATCCCAGTGACTGAGGAATATTCCACTGGTACCTTTGGCTTTTCCATTCAGGATTAGAGTGGTTAAATCAAAATGTTTATAAGAAGTATAAATTTGTTCCGCAAACAGAAGATTTCAAAGGCATCTTTGTTCCTTCTCTCCTTATACTGCCCTGCTATAACTCTGGGTTCATTAGTCAGGATTTTCAGATCCACTTGGCTGCCACCTTCCTGCAGCCAGACCATCTTGGATCAAAAGGTCAGCAGGCCATTCCCATCTCACACCTGCCACAAGATCTGATTTTTTTTTTCCCCCACACTGATCCTAGTCACTTTCTGTTAATTCACTAATTTCATTGACCCTGTAACAACCCTGTGAATGGTGGGCCATTACAGAGCCTATCACTTCGAGATGCTTTTTCTGACAACTACAGATGAGAAACAACCCCCACACGATGCATTCTGCACCACTTCAGCTGCTTCTTTACCTGGTTTAACACAAAGAACATCTTGTTTATTAGCACATTCACAGAAAATGAAAAAATTAAAAACCACTTTTGTCCACCACCTTGGGGAAAGGGGCAATGACAGATGATATTAATGATGCATGAGATATGCAGGTCTAGTCATGTCAAGGGGCTTCAGTAATCCAATTCGGCCTTACTCAAGGGAGGAAAATTCACCTCTACTTTCCATCCGCCCCCTCCTTTAATGAAGCACTTGGGCACAGACGGCAGAGCGACAAAATACACCAGGATGTGGACAACTAAAACGCACTCGAGCTACAGCGGCCCCCAACAGTCTTCCCTCCTATCCTCCGGAATATTTATCTAGACCTTTTAAAGCACTTAATTAATTCACCAGCAGCTTCGCTGGAGGCGTCTCGAGCGTTCCGAGACTCCATTACATAATATCTTTTACAAAGTCTATTCCCAGCTCGAGTGGAAGATGGATTCTCATCCAGTTTTGCAGAGGTTCCATGCGTTTTGCTTCCCTTTCCCGGGTCTCGATCCGGCGGGCGCCCCAGCCAAGGGCTGCAGCCTTCCCCTCCGCCCCGAGCTCCAGGTTCTCCGCCACTCTCCGAGCTCAAAGCGTTCCCCAGAGGTGCAGCTGCTTCGCCCTCGGGACTCCCAAGCCAGCCACGGCGGCCCTGAAGGCTGGCGGGCTCTCGGGGACGCCGCGACTCTCGTAGCTCGCCGGTGCGCCCGAGCCGCAGCGCGCCGGCGATGCCGGAGCGGGAGAGGCGCGCGAAGACTCGGCCGCAGGGCCGGCTCGGTGCGCCGGGCTCGGGGAGGCAGAGGGGGAGAGGGGGAGGAGGAGGAGGCGTGCGAGGGAGGAAGGGCCCGGCCGCCGGGGAGGGAGGGCGGAGGAGGGGGAGGGGGCCGGCCGGGCCAGGGGGTGGGGGGGGCAGCCAATGAGCAGCGCGCGGCGCGGGGCGGGGGGGGGCGCGGGTTGGGGGATGAGGTAGGATGGGGGAGGGCGCAGCCCGAGCGGCGGAGGCTCGAGCCATAAACAAGCGCCCGGAGGAGCGGCGCAGGAGTGAGGCGAGCCGGGCGCGCGGAGCGGACGCCGCGGACCTTCTGCTGCGCCACCGCGCCCACTCCGCGGCTCGGGAGGCGGGGACCGGCCCGGAGGCTGCGCCGCTGCCGCCGCCACAACCACCGCCGCCGCGGGGTCGGCCGACGCGGAGGAGGAGAGAGGGAGGAGGCGCCGCCAGCCGGGGCTGGAGCCGAGCGCAGCCGCCGCCGCCGCCAGAAGTTTGGGTTGAACCGGAGCTGCCGGGAGGAAACTTTTTTTCTTTTTTCCCCCTCCCTCCCGGGAGGAGGAGGAGGAGGGGAAGCCACTGCTGGCGCCAACGCTAGTGGGCTCCGGGTCGGCGCGGCCCGCAGGGGGAGCGGGGGCCTCGCCCCGCGAGGGGAGGCGCGCCCCGGGGGCCCCGAGGGGGGCGGCGAGGACCGCGGGCTGCGGGTGCGGCGGCGGCGCGTGTGCCCCGCGCAGGGGAGGGCGCCCGCCCCGCTCCCGGCCCGGCTGCGAGGAGGAGGCGGCGGCGGCGCAGGAGGATGTACTTGGTGGCGGGGGGCAGGGGGCTGGCCGGCTGCGGGCACCTCCTGGTCTCGCTGCTGGGGCTGTTGCTGCTGCTGGCGCGCTCCGGCACCCGGGCGCTGGTCTGCCTGCCCTGCGACGAGTCCAAGTGCGAAGAGCCCAAGAGCTGCCCCGGGAGCATCGTGCAGGGTTTCTGCGGCTGCTGCTACATGTGCGCCCGCCAGAGAAACGAGAGCTGCGGCGGCGTCTACGGGCTCCATGGAGCCTGCGACCGGGGGCTGCGCTGTGTCATCCGCCCCCCGCTCAATGGCGACTCCATCACCGAGTACGAAGTGGGAGTCTGCGAAGGTACGGCCGCCCGCCGCGGGCCCCCTCCCACCTGGCCCGCGCCGCCCCCTCGGCGCTGGTGGCGCCGAACAAAGTTTGGCGGAGACTTTCCCGAGGAGAGAGGGCTCTTCGGGAAGGAGGGGCGCCCGCCACCCCCGGGATTGAGCCCTGCGTCCCTGGGTTCCCAGCTCGCTGCTTCCCCCGGATGCCTGGCCAGCCGCGGGAGAGGTTGGGCTGCGTGGGTGGGGGCCGGCGAGTGGGAGATCGCCCCCGGCCGCGCACAGACGCGCACACGTGTGGCCCATCGGGTTGGGGTTGGGTGGAGTGGCCGGGCTGTGCGCCCGGAGGTGGGGGCGCCGCGGGCAGGGGGCACTGCGGAGGCTCTGGCGAGCCCCTCGGGGAGTCGGGCCCCTGCCGCCCTCCCCGCATAGCGCAGCGTGGAAGTGAGTGCTGCACCACGTCCACTCAAGTCCATTTTCTGCTGGCGGAGGAGACGTGTCTCCAGCTCACACTCCCTGTGTGACTCTTGTATTATTTTTTCCTTGCGCTTTTCCTTCACCCCCTTCCTCCTCCTGCGCATATAAATCAGTTTCAGCTCCGGAATATGTCAGCCCAGGGGAAGTTACAGACGGTGGTTACTCATTTATTTGCCTATTGAAAGCGGTCAAAGGCTTTCTCTCTTGAATGAAGCGGGGCGGGCGGGGGGGGGGCGGCCGGGCGGGGGGCTTGCACCTAGGAGTGAAAAGTTGTTTCTGTACTATTAGTGGCTGCTTTTTAAGATCAGATATCCGCGTCTTTCCAGTCGTGTTGCTTGTTCTTTTTGTGTGTTTAATAACGGGGATTGTTCTGCTGGTTTCTCCAGTGAAGTATTGTGCACCATGGTGTCTGATGGAAGGAGAAGGATTGGGTTAGCGGAGCCCTCCTCCTTGGAAGAATCACTGTTAATGGGTGTTGGCCTTCAGCCCTGCCCGCCGGCCTTGGGGTGCCTGGTCAGGTTTGGGGTCTAGAGAGATGTAGTGAGTTCTTTTTATTTGGCTAATGCCGAATAGTGAGCACCAGTGAAACGTAGGATCCCTGCTCGGGCTGACGTTGGGGCGGTGATGCTGTTTGGGGCATCCTGGTGTGCGAGCAGCGGGCAGCAGCCTTACTCTGGAGGGGCGGATGAGGGACAGGCGCCGCTGCTCCTGTCTTCCTCAATACTCACAGCCTGCGCGCCCGAGACCAGGGAGGGGTTTATTCTGAAGCATCTTTCTTTGTGTCTGTTTATTGTGCTGGGAAACTGAGAAAGGAAGTAAATGCCTTAAGGGTCTGTTGAAAGGCTTCCATTCTGTGATTCTCTTTACATACATGCATGCTTGTTGATTATTGTTGTTTAGTGACTCAGTCCTGCCCCACTTTTTTGAGACCCCGTGGACTATAGCCTGCCAGGCGCCTCTGTCCATGGGATTTTCCAGGCAAGAATACTGGAGTGGCTTGCCATTTCCTCCTCCAGGGGATCTTCCCGACCCAGGGATGGAACCTGCGTCTCCTGCATTGGCCGCCGGGTTGTTTACCACTGAGCCACCAGGCAGGTTTTAAAGTTTGGACAGTTTTGGAAAATCTGGATGGCCTTTCTGGTTTGGAAGCTAGTGGGCAGTAATGAGTGAAGGGAACTCGTGCGGGAAGTGCATCGATGCACCCTGAGGACATTGGGTTATAAGAGTTTGTTTACCTCAAGTACAAAAGCCTCTCACCTGGTGTTAAGTCCCACTGTATAACTTGTTTTTATTTCTCACAAGAAAAATGGCCAGGAGATTAACTTCTGATACAGTTTTATGTGTTTGACTTTGGGAATTCTGAATGAGTTGGACCAAAAGATGTAGCTTTGAACCCTGCTACTTGGAGTGTGTAATTTACTTAAGCCAGCCTCCCATAAATCTGAAAAGAACAAGCACCCTGAAACAAGGTTAAATGTGGTGGAAACGGCTGTGCTCTGAGAAGGACTTGGGAAGGTTCTAAAGATTCTAACCTTTGTTTTGTTACTTCATGATGGATTTCTGGTGAAGGAAATGTAGAGTTCAGGGAATATTCACGCTAATCAAGTGCTTTGGCACCAATGTCCTGGTGTCATAGTATAGAGTTATTTTGGCAGTTTGTTGGTGAGCCTTTTATTCCTCTGAAATGAGGTGATCCCTCAATAGCTTCGTTTCTTCTGTTAACGCTCTCTACACACTTGGTATTAATCTTGAAAATGCTTGGAAGTATTTATTGGCATGATGATATCATATTGAGTGTTCTTTAACAACTCTTTCCATCTAGCCAGCCTGTTTTCAGCTACCAAAATGGTGTGCTCAGGGCATTTTTTTTTTTTTTTTTTTTACTTTTTTATAGAACTCTAAAAGCAGCAATTAGGTTGCAATCTATGAACCCAAAGTAGAAAGGACAGTGTTACCTAGCATGATGAATGTATTTAGACAGCTATTTCAATAGGGTGTCTAAAATTTCAAGAATTTTCACGTGATTACAAGATTTATGGAAAACAAGATAAGTGAGTGGCCTTTTTTCTTCCTTTTTAAGAATTAGAGGAGTCATTCTATGGCAGTAATTACCCTAGAGGATGCTGACATTCTCTTGTTTTTCTCTTAGTTGGCAAAAAAATTTCTCAATGGCCAGTGTTGCCCTCAGTTTCCATTTTTATTCAGAAATTTGCACATAATTATCATAACTAACAAATAGAAATTGATACATTTTGTTCATGAGGAAGTCTTTTGCTGCAATTTTTGCACTAAAATGACCCCTACTGGTTGTATATGTTAATGAAAACTCTTGAAACTTGTTTAACTGACTGTACTGAGGAAAACATATTGCATAGTATAGAAATGTTATCATGACTAACCTGTTTTCGATGACATAATTTAAATACAAATTACATTGCTCTATCTGCCAACTTGCAGTAATTTTTATTTATATCACTCCCCATACTGGCTTTATGAAAGGAAGAAAAAATCAGGTTTTTAACTTCAGTTCACAAAGTGAGTAGATAAAGTAGGGTCTGAAATGGACCCCTTCCAAATTGTGGCTCCCTGCCTTAGGTTTTTAAGGCATACTGGCTCATAGTAGGCTCTCAGTGAATGTGCAGTGAGTACATGGAAGAACAGTTTTTTCCATAGAAAGAACACTGAGGGAAAAATATTTTCTGAAAAGGCTAAATGATGCGAAGAGTGAATCATGTGACACAGACACCCGGACTTCTTTTCAGCATCATTTAGACTGTTAACTAAGTAAATCCTGACATACTTATTCCTCTAAAAAAAAAAATTGTTGGCTATGTCTATATTTAAAGTCGAGCAGAGAGCCAGATTCCTCCATTTTTCTCTATGTTGTGCTTTCTGGCTCCTGGGAAGATCCCTTTCCCATTTCCACTGATTCAGTGAGTCTTCTTGTTGCCCTTTGCAGCTTCCTAAGTGGCTTGCTGCTTGGTTAGGGTGCCTGCCTCTAGGTAAGTGGCCTAGGAGCCATAGAAATAAGTTTGGAGTCTGAACTCCTGAGGGAGGGGTGGGAGACCTCTTTGGGAGATGAAAGACAGTTTTGAAAAAATATTCAAATGAGATTTTCTAGGAAGAATGTTTTGATTGGCCAGTAAGGTTTATGTTTTAGACAAGGGGTGAGGTCCATTTTTCCTCCTCTGTGGACCCGTATTGTATGCTTCTGTAAGGAAAGGGTGGGTGGGGGGAGCATGACCAGCCTTCTCTAAGTAAGGAAACGGCAGCGATGGCTTAGGATTGACGGGTCGTGAGGGCAGAGTGCTGAGGAACCTAGGGGACACTGTAGATTGCTTTGCTCTGAGAACTTTGCATTAGAGCCAGGGGATCCCCATCACAAAGAAGCACTCTTTTCCCACCTGGTGACTGTTTACTCAGTGGTTCGTGTTTATGGAATGGAACTGTGTTTTCACCTCTGCCATGTAAGAACTGTCTCTTTCAAAATTCAATCCTCCTTTGATTTCCCCCAGGTATTTTAACTTTTCTTTCCACCCACTTCTCACAGGGCAGTAAGTAAAACCAAGGATGTGGGGTGGGTATTCCCAGCAGAGAATGGAATGTTTTCTGAAACCTTTGACGTTAGAAGGTTATGGTTTCTTTTCAGTCACTGGAGATGACAACTCCTTGGAAGAAGGTTTGTGGAGGATCTGAGGTGAGGCCTAGGGAACAGGCTCTAGGAGGCCAGGGAACAAATCAAACCAGTTGGTTGTACACCAGCCATAGATCTCCTCTCATCCATCTGTAATGTAGGAGTCGGAGTTAAAGAGTCCATGGATTTGGATTTTTACCAGTTAAATAGAAGAGGGGATGGGCAGAGTTAATATTCTTGTACTGATGTTAGAAAAATGAAAACATCCATAGCTTCTTATTTTTGAGGAAGGTGTTTCAGTTTCCATCCAAAAGTCTTTAGGTAAGGTTCTTAGATGCCAGAGACAGAAGCAAGCAGAGGGCCTATGAAATCACCTTAATACAGCATGGGAAGAGGAACCAATGTAAGTAAACAAGGAAATAATTAGTTCCTCCCAGAGTAAATATTGACAAAATGTGGAGTGTCTATTCACTGCACATATTCAAATGACAGGACTTCATGACTTTGATTTTGACTGTCAAGCTTACAGAACCTTCACTGTTGTCGAGGAGTTCAGTCACAAAATACTTGGCAAGGGGCAGATGAGTGGCATAGCACTGGAAGGGCAAAAACAGCAAGTCTGGGGATCTTGCTGCCATTAACATGCATTTACTCTACAAGTGCCATGATGAACATGCAGGTAAATTTACTGTAATATTAATTTATGAAGAAAACCATCTGAATAATCCTTAGAATTGGGCGTTACAACCAGTTGTGGGAGTTACTGGGCTTCCCTTGTGGTTCAGCTGGTAAAGAATCCACCTGCAATGCATTCCACTTGCAATCTGAACTGCAAGACCTGGGTTCGATCCCTGGGTTTGGAAAATCCCCTGGAGAAAGGAAAGGCTACCCCACTCCAGTATTCTGGCCTG